TCTTTCTACAAACTGCAATGTTCTATCCCCATTTAAATTGTATTAGGACCGAACATTGCTGCAAGTTATTTCAAAATAATTTAAATTTTACATTTGATACAAAATATAGTTGCTATAGGAAGAATTATAGAATTGTACAATTTGTATTAGTTCAAACTAAATAGATTTTTTTTTTTTTAGTTTGAAATGTATGAAACCAATATGCTTGGATCACCCAAATGGGATGAAATATTGGTAGGGGTTGACTTCTTCAATGTATTTCAATGGTGGAATGCACAACAATATCTATATTTGCTATTGTCCAGTGTAGTCTGAGACTTGTTTACATCACCATCTATTTTATCAATCCTTACATACATAAGGTCCATCATGTGGGATCATATATTAGATTGAGATGCATTGCGTAACCTAGGTGATACTATTTGAATAGAAACATATGTTTGTATTCGTCAACGACTTCAAGAAGATGGTGTCCTTTTAGCATCTTCTCAAATGTGCAATTGTAGAATGTGAAGGTAGGATTGTAATTATGTTTCAGTTTTTAGTCGTTATTATTATATAGCATTTATTTATTTTAAATAATTGTACACAAAATACTCATTCATATATAGTTTTAACTCCACCTATATATTGTAGTCAGATCCAAGCCCTAATAAAGAAGGTTTTTATAAATTTTTAATTTCTTACTTTTACATTTTTTTTAAATAAAATTACGTCTTCATCATACTTCTAGGAGTGAAAGAGCAATTTTCGACTAGAAATCTAGTAAGCTGCGGATGATTTGTGAGCCAAATCTGCTCGATTCCGCTTGGCTCGCCGCATTTAACAGCCCTAGGATCAATAGAAGTGAATCTATTATGTTTCAATCTATTCTCCATATGATACTTCGGAGAAAAATGAGAAGTTAAGCAATGTATGAGTCTTTACGGTATAAAGATTTCAGTACTAGAAGCAAAGAAATATAAAAAATTCTTCAATTCGTATAAATATGAAATTTGGATTTTGGAGACTAATATTATATGTAGAAGTTATTATGATCCACATGGATACCATGTCAACTGTATGGATGCCAAATCAACCAAGACAAAGGGTTCAAGCGTGCCCTATATCATGGAATGAATATTTATGCCTTGACCACCGATGCCTGCTTGAATAAAAGAACGCCACGATCGGTGAGGCTCCCCCTGAACAAAGGGATGTACATAATTCTATTACTTGGCTAGAAACATGATTAGAGGCCTTAGGCTACATCTGACATGGACGAAAAACACCTCAATATGAATTCTGACAAATCAACTTTGATATTAGTTCCCCATGCATTAATTTGCTTATATGCAGGCTGATATTGTGGACAATGGTCACAAAAGCACAAACATCAATTAGTTTTAACTGAAAATTTAATAACGAATTCAAACAGGATGATGAAAAAGGCCAAGTAACGAAAATGACTAAAATGCCCTCATCAAACTTTTATAAATAGACCATTGTACAATTAAAAAGGGGACTCTGGACCTTTTGACTTTTGGATGATCTATTGATCTCAAAAAAGAAGGATCTTCCTCTCCCCCTCGAATATCAAAAAATTGGATTTGACACATACAAAAATTTCGATAGAAATAATCCCTTTAGAAATTAAGAGAGAAAATATACAGTTGTCTTAAAAAAAAAATGCAACCTATTTTTTGAGGTTTACAATTTCATTTATGATAGGCTTCTAACAAAATAAATATGGGCAGAGTGAGTGCACTTTCAACTTGCAGTATTGAACAAGAACTTTAAGATACATTAAAAATATGGATTGTGCTAAATGTACACCCAATTCATTACATAATGGATTACACCCCCTCACATGGAGGGGGCCTATGAATATTTTATTGTGTGTGGTCCTCCCTCAAATCCTAAAAACATAGATAAATGCTAGAATCATCTAAATTTTTTCCCAAATAGAAAAACATACAATGAAGCCGAAGTCATTTAGATTGAGCTACTTTTGTTGAATACTCAAAAATTGAACATATATGTCATTTTAAGTATTGTGCACTTATTCTTTCGTAAAAATGCCCATCGAGAGCTAACAGGGCTAGACAGGCTTTTTATTTGGTTAACAGCCTGAGGGATTACCTATTCTTCTCAATGACAATTAAACTTGATTTCTTTTACTTTTTTTAAAAAAAAAATCTAATCGTGATTATATATTATCAAGTTATTTGCTAATTCTACAAGTATTTTATGATTGGCCAATATTGTTTTGGTAAATTGTGGATTTTCAAATCGACATCAATTCTTATCTCCTTTTGAGTTGCCATTATTATCTTCAAGATTTTGATAGTCAATGTTGTGACTCTGAAAATGTAAATTAGTTGCTTAATCTTCATTATGGTTTATTAAGAACTTTAGTTGAGAGGTAATTTGGTATACGTAAATCACAGTTCACAATTTCGAACAACTCCTCCATTTCCATATCGTCCTCAAGGAGAGCTAGCGTGAGCTTGTGCAGATTACATTAATTTTTTTTGCGAAGAGTGTCGATGTCATGAATTTTCAGATGGATCTAATAATGAAGCTTCATCATCCTTGTTAGTTAATGAAAGAGGAGACTTTGGGCCATTTTTTCAGAGTCAAGAACAACAAAAAGAGAAAGTTAATGTATTTATGGCTACTATAGCAATTGATATGTGAAGCAATGTTGGATTGAACATTAGATTTTTTTATTGATCACTACGAAAACATCGTTAATTCTTCTTGATATTTATGTCATTATTAACCTAATTGGGGAGAATAATTTTTTTTAATTTCTTTGTAAAATATATTTTATTGACAAAAAAACATGATTTGTTAATTGTGTTCTTGGGATTTTTCTGTAAGATTTTTTAGGTGAAAATATATATTTTTAAAGAATATATAATTAAAAAGTAGAAAAATTTATGGATTTTTATAATGTGTGGTTGAAAATGATTTTGGGAAAAATAAATTTTAAAAAATCTCTCCAAAATAAACTCTTAATTACATGTGTTCTGGATGATTTGATTATGCAAAAACTTGCTCAGAATAATATTACAATACATATACATTTAGCTTAACAATTTTTTTTCAAAAATGAAGTCTATAAAAGTATTAAAAAGTCTTTAAATAAAAGTACGTAGAAGTGTATAGAAGACTTTTGTTAATTCTTAAAAAATCCATACAAATTATTTAATTTAAAAGTATATAAATCCCAAAAGATTCACCCATTTTAAAAAAAATCTATGAAAGCCTTTAAAATTTTCAATTGAATAGATTCTCTAAAGTGTCCAAATTTGGAAGTCGAGTTAATTTTTAGGGATATTGTGGTTGAACATTTACTAGGGATTTACTAGGAATCGAGTTTCTACTTAGGGGTATTTTGGTTCAAAATGACCATTTGTGCTACAAATTTTGCAAGATTGTCATTTTTAAAAATGTAATTATATATGCACAATATTTTTTTATAACTTGTACAACATTTTTAATTACACTTAAGATTTTTAATATTTGCTTGTTATAGCATTTATGTCCCTAACTTTAAAAAAAAAAAAATTATCTTCAACATTATGTTAATTAGAAGATTTCGTCCTTGAGGATGTTTTTTGTACAAAAAATTGTTTTTGGATTTTGAAATGGGGAAAAAGTTTTTGTTGCACCGTTGTATTTATTATTTTTCAAAAAAATTATGACGAGAAGCAGGTTATTTTGTACACTCAAACAGATCTTTTGGATGAAATCACTATTAGAAATGAGGTAACTTAATTAATAGAATGTTGAAAATAAGAATATATATTGAAAAAAAAAATAGGCGCATAATTAATATAATAAACAAAAATTGAAGAACTTAAATATATTTAGGACGTGATATAAAAAAAAATTGATTAATAGAATGTCAAAAATAAAAATAAAAATTGGAAAAAGTAGGAACATAATTAATATAATAAACAAAAATTGAAAAATTTAAATACATTTAGGTCGTGATATAAATAAAAATTGTGATTAATTACCGTTTTAGGGTGTGTTTGAACTACATTATTTTGGAATAGTAGATTGATGGAGAATGTATAGTTGAAAAAGAAGGAAAAATTATTGATATGATGAAAAATATTATTTTATTGAATGATGTGTGGTTGAAAATTAGTAGAAAAATAAGAATAAAAATTTTAATGTGACTCAAACATGCGCTTAAAATAATCTAAGTGCGGAAACGGTCATTCAATGTAACGCGTGTTTGAATCTCATTAAAACGAGAATAAAATTTTTGGAATAGTGATTAATGAGAGAATGTGAGGTGGAAATGTGATGAAAAGTTTTAGATTTGTGTATAATATTATGAATTATGCTATAGCTACCGGGGGGTTGACAACCCCCCTAATCGACCCCTCGGTCAGGGGGGTTGTGGAATCGGTTAGGGGATTGTCAACCCTCCGGTACAATTATCATTTTCCTAATATTATTTTATTTAGAAAATATATAGTTGAAATGTAAAAAGAGAAAAAAAAATGAAATTAAGAGTGAGATTAAAAATGGGGTGTCAAACAGGGCGTAATATCCTCAATCTAAGAGCTTGTTTGGGAGGGATTTTTGGGGGAAGAATTGATTTTGAATAGTGATATGATGGGAAATGTATGGTTGAAAAAGAAAAAAAAATTATTGATGTGATAAAAAATATTATTTTATTGAAGAATGTGTGATTAAAAATGAGAAGACTTAAAATCGCTACGTGGTAAAACAATCAAATTGCATCATTTACGTTCATTTCATGCTTTATGATGGTGAATGCCAACTTGTAAAGCAAAGTACGCACGTCTCATCACTCTTCTGAATCATCCATCATACCTTTGACCTCTCAAGAAAATATTTTTACATACCATTTTCTTCCACCTTCAACGGAATCTACGTTTCCTCCGTTTTTATTGCCAAACCCACAAAAATCTAGCACCCAATTCCCTCTCCCAAAATCTATCAAGCCCAGGTTTTGTATCAATTTATAGCACATGAATAGAAACAGGACGGAAAGTCCGGTTTACACCCGTCAGTGGAGCGGCGGATCCAGTAGCACCGGCTCATCGTCGCCTCTGGGGTCACCGGCGCATCCCAGGTCACGGTTGCCGCCGGCGGGAACTGGGATGTCGACTATTAAGAGAACCCAGAACGTGGCTGCGAAAGCGGCTGCTCAACGCCTGGCGAAGGTGATGGCCTCGAAAACTCCGAATGATGACGAGGATGAGGAAGATGATGATCTGGGATTCCGGTTTGGACCGCCCCCACCGTCGTCGGTTTCTAGCAGAATTGATAGTAATAATAGTAGTAATGGTCTCTCCGCGATTTCGCTTTCAAAGCTGAATAGATCTCCGTCCCCTGCGGTAATTTTGATACCTTTACTGATTTCTTTAATTTTTTTGGATTTACTCCTTCTCTGTTTTGCTATGATCTTGTTGATTGATAGGTGATAAGTGAAAATTGATTTCTATTTGCAGTCTTGCTGAAAATGGTTAAAACTGCATAAGTTCAAGTGTATGTGGGAAAATGAATTAGAGTTTTGTATTGATTGTGAATATTTGAATTTATATGGGATTATGAATTTCTGGATTTAGTTAAAGATGTAGCAGGGTCTACTCCCTCCCCCGGAAAATAGAAGTCTGCACACTTGAATTACTTATGAGGCCAAATATTGGATTTCTAGATGTATAATGGAAAAGATTATTTCACGCTAAATCAAGTGGTCACCACCTTCGACTTGCAGTCATAAATTACACGTTAATGGATAACTCATAACCAATCCCTAGTCACTAGTGATATTTACAGGAGCAAAGAGCGCCAATCCAAGCGTGCTTGGTTCAGCTGGCGCTCGTACAATTTTTTGGCTTGAAAGGTGGTCAACTGAAAAATAATTAATGGAACTTACCAAATCAATGGTATAAATATGTACAATAACACAATCAAATCTCCTATATTAGGAATAGACTATACAATCAAATCTTCTATATTAGGAATCGAGTATAATTGATGTTGGGCAATCAAGAAGCACCAATTTGTCAACCTTAAACTGGTGGCGGTGACAAGATAGAGCTTTGGTGAAGACATTATCTATTTGATCCTCGGTAGAGATGTGAGGAAGAAAATTTTCATAGAGAACCATCACTTCATGAATAGAATGAGAATTTACTTTAATATGCTTGATATGCTCATAAAAAATCAGATTACTAGAAATCTAAATAGCATTCATATTGTCCGTAGAAGAAAGTAGCATGAAGAGAGTAGGAGAAAGTTGTGGAATTCCAATTTTCCCCGAGAAGAAGCCATACGATTTCAGAACAGGCCAACGACATGGCTCAATATTTAGATACAGTGGAAGACTTCGAGACGTGAGCATGCTTTTTACTTTTCTAAGAAATAACTGCACCACTAAGAAACATACACCAATCGATGATAGAACGATGAGTATCAGCATAACTAGCCCAATCCGCATTACTAAATCCCACCAAATGTAAAGAATTTTTAGAAGGAAAGAACAAATTGCGATCAGAAGTAAAAATTAACCAATGTGTTAATGATCAAATTATTCAAGCTCCCCACTAGCAGTCGATAGATCGAGGGATCAGATAAAGGGTCGCCACCCTCTTTACTCTGTTCCAAGGTGACTGCCACAGGAGTAAAGGTTCAAAGTGTTATCCTATAGATCTCCTAAGGAGAGAAGCTCTTGAGTATACTTATGTTGGTGCAGAAGTGTGCCCTTAGGACAATGATGTACCTGAGGTATGAGAAAATTGTGAAGAAGACCAAGATCTTTAATATGAAACGATGATTTAAGTTTCACTTGGAGCTATTCAATCAACTGTAGATCAAACCCCGTAATCACAATATTGGCGATATACACAATTAGTATAACAATTCCAGTAGAAATAGCGTATAGAATCAAGTTTCCAATATTAGGAATAGTGTATACAATCAAATCTCTTATATTAGGAATAGAGTATATAATGAAATCTCCTATATTAGGAATAGAGTATATTCGGACAGCTCATTGACATTATAAGGTTATGAATTTATTTTTTTCATGTAGGGAAAAAGTTATGGACTTTTGGGGTGGAAGTCATTTTCCACATGCATCACGATAACGAATACCACCCACCACATTGTTGTCCAACAATCAAACCCAAATTTAATATGACAAAAACTCAAGTCGTTAAACGGGATTTCTCCAAATACCTATGGAAAATATATGTATTCAGTAGCATTGCAGGAGTCTGCCTCATGTAGCAACATTTGATTTGAGGAGGGCATGTTGAGGACTAGTAATCAATTGTTTTATGGGAGATACAGGAGAGCATTTGAATAACTTGTATATCCAGACCATTTTGACACCATTATTTTCTGTTTCAAAACCCTCTGATTTTGGGGTGCCGTCAGAAGTCCTAGTTAACCAAATCCTACAAAATATTTATAATGGGTTTGGGCAGTGAATATGGTGCTCATCTTACCCAAATTACTGTTTCTAACTCGTCCTTGGGAGGTGATGTGCCGCATTTTCTGATCCCTTGCATGAATGGTAATGCTTGGGAAGCTATTTGGATGCATTTTATTCTCCATCCAGTACCAAAATGCTTTTACTTTTTCAGTATCCTGTATCACCAGGATGACAAAATAAAGACTAATTTTAAACGCTACCCTAGCCATATGCAGAAAGCAAAGTGTATACACAATGCATTATTAAGTAACAGCCACTTGGTAAAGTAATGTTAGAGACGACTAACGTACTATTGACATTATTGAAGTTTTGACTCCACTTAACAATTAGGGGATCGATGGAGATTAGTTTTGTATGTTTTAAATTAAGCTGTTTTCATTCTCTGTCAAAATGATTGGACGCTGATAGACTGTATAAATGTCCAGTGAAATATGTATTGCTTTTAGATAATTGTCTAACTAGATGCGATTCATTTTCTTGAGAATTTTTTAATTTCTGTCAGCATTTGTAGTGTATATGAATGTGGTTTCGCATTCGAAAACGAGTGCTATTTTGTCTTTGCTTGTGAATGAGATGATATATTGGATGTTATTGTCTGTAGTTAGGTCGGAATATTATGGAGCACACTCCTTCAGTTCGCTCTACATCAGCTGGAAGACCTTCAATGTCTGTTCGTACGGGAACTACGGTAGTGCCACCAAGTAGATCCTCTTTGAGAGCTCCAGTTACCATCCCACCAATCGAGTCTTCTAGTAACAGACTAAGAGAAAAGAGGTTTACCATTCTTACTTCATTTTCAAACTTTTCTAGTAAGTAGATTGAGCTAGTTTAAACATCACTCAACTTATTTACCGCTAATGATGCTCTCATGGTAATAATTGAACATGTAACTTGAGTTTTTAATATTTCCGCATGGGAATTTTAGTTTTTTGGTCCTGTGGAAACAAATTTTGTTCCATGTGGACTTGTACTAATCTTTGAGAAGCTCTATATCGCTAAGCTTGGGAAGAAAATACGAACATGTTGGAAGCAGAAGACATCAAATGCAGTTGAATATACATTAATCATGTCAATATATGCAAAATTACAATAAATACATTAATTTTTGGTTGGGGTGGATGCCAAGGGAATCATTGGACATCCTCTTATCATATTTTAATTTAACTAGTAAAGGTATGATAATGCTTGGACTCTCAATGTATGATTTTCTGTTGTAACATAAGAACACTTATGGTTCGCTTTTTATCCTTTTTTTTCACGTGAGAAGGTTTTTTTTTTTTTTTTGGGAGTGGGGAATGGGGGATCGATGGCACAATATAAAGAATTTACCCACCATAGCTGCTCCGATTATTGTTTGGATATTTGGATGTGATGTATATGGATAAAGTTTCTTGATCATGTTTACACGAGCTCTCTAGTCAATTGAATTAGTGCTGCTTGTTGTCAAATTCTAAGTGCGCACAAATACATTTTTACATATGCAGTCAAGTGTCAACTTGTTTGCACATATGCCAAGTAGTATTAATCTTTTGGTGCAACAAGTAGAATTGATTATAATTGCTACAAATAGTATAGTACCAAGTTTGATATCTTCCTTGTTGACAAATTCTTTAGGTTTACACATGACGTGGGACTTATTGACTTGAAAGATCCTGGAAATGAGCACGAGGCTTCTGCGCTCCGTGATGAAGTACGCCTTCCAATAATTTTGTTTTTTGATTTTTTAAAGCTAACTTCTGAAATACACGTGACTGAATTTTTCCAGACATTTATGTTTCTCACTCGTAATTCTTTTTTTATATTTTATTATATCTACATAAGATGATTATAGCTTCAGATCATGCTATATCTTACTGGATTGACATTGAACTTGAATTGCAGCTTGACATGCTACAAGAAGAGAATGAAGTAATTCTAGATAAGGTGAGTCTTCTCTCCAGTGCCTGTCTGTCCATCTGCCTCTCCATGAAGAAAGAGAATAAAAGTAGAAAGAAACTCAACAAAAGAAGGAAACATTGATGGCCTTTATGCTTTCAACTGTGTCATCTGGAACATAATGACCAATTTGTCCCACAGCTTCGTCGTGCAGAAGAAAAACGTGAGGAAGCGGAGGCCAGAGCCAGAGAGCTAGAGAAACAGGTTAAAACTTGATCAGTCCTTGATTTCCATTTCTTCAATGCGCCATCATTGTGTTTATTTATAGCTGTAAAATGTTGTGAAGTTTGTTTTTTTTTTGGTTTCATCCCCATGTTTGCTGGTGCTGCTCTCCCTGTTTCTTATACTACATCTTACTTAAATTAAATATATATAATGATCACTAACTTTATGGATATTCAGAATATATATAATAAGTTTTCTGGGTTGCAAAGAAAATCTTTTTGAGTTATTATAGCTTGCAGTCGTGATGACGCATTGACTTTGATTGGTCTTGCGTAGAGGAACTTGATGTCTGAAATTTCAACTTCATCACTACTCTTTGAATTATTCTGTTATCTCTGCAATCTTTTGGAAATGAATTATTTTTATTCATGGTTATTATATTCACTGCTTTAATTATATATTTACAGGTTGCTTCCCTGGGAGAAGGTGTATCCTTGGAAGCTAAATTGTTGAGCCGGTAAATCAATTTTTTATTTGTATCATAAGCCACTCAACAATGTTGGTTTGATGCAGTGTATGTTTATTTGCAGGAAGGAAGCAGCTCTACGTCAAAGAGAGGTGAGTGCAAGATGAACTTAATATTGGAAATTCTTCTCCATTATGAATTCCTTTATTGACAGATGGAAGATTATTACAGTAAATTAACACACACATTAATATTTTATATTGTTATATGTATGTGTATAGATACATGTGTGCGCTCTCACATACACACACATCCCCATGCCTAAGATCTTATGCTCCAAATGGGTTTCTATTACAGGCTGCTCTTATAGCTGCCAAACAGACAAAGGATGGTAGAGATGAAGAATTTTCAGCCCTTCGTGTCGAACTTGAGGTTGTTTTGTGCTATTTAGTGATACTCAGGTTTTTTTCATGTTACTAACCATTCCTTGCCTTCTCAAATTGTTCTGTTATGTGAATGTTTTGTCAGAACTTAAAAGAGGAGGCTGGTAATGCTATGGAACAGCTTCATGAAGCTGAATCTGAAGCAAAAGCTCTTCGAACGATGACACAGAGAATGATTTTGACGCATGAAGAGATGGTTGTCCTGTAAATTCTTGTTAGATTTAGTACCAGCTCTCCGATAACATTTAACAGAGTTCTAACATTCATTCTTCCCATTTTTGTTTTCCATTCTAGGAGGAGGTTGTTCTCAAGAGGTGTTGGCTTGCTCGTTACTGGACCTTAGCAGCACGCTATGGTAATGTACTTTAAACAATTTCTATGTAAAAAAGCACAAATGTAACAGGCTGGCAGTTTTTTCTTATCTGCCCCTCCTGTCACCCTGCCTTGCTTTTATATTTTAAAGTTTCTGTTGTGAATGTTCACGTGTCAGAATGTTGAAGTGTTACTTTATGAAAAAAGGACAGCAATTGTCCCCAAGCTTTACGAAATAGAGCACCTAAATTCCCATTCAATCTTCCTGGCATATACTTCCCCAAACTTTCAATTTCATTACACGTAGGTCCCCACTGGATGGAATTCGTCTATTCTACTGTCATGACCTCACTGCCTTTGCACGTTAGTTATATTATAAGGTTTAGTTTGGTAAATCTTTTTCCCTTAAAAGAATTAGAAAAGAAAAAGAAACGGAGAGAAAAGAAAACGAATAAAGAAAATAAAAACCCGCCACCCACCACTACCATCATCCCCAGCTATTCAATGCCCATCACCTCTACCCACCCCACCGAAACCCCTGATGACAATCTAGTCCTGCTTCACAAGGATCCAGCCGGCAATGTCATGTCTGGTGAAAATCTGAAACTAGAGCTTTAATAAATTCTGGATCTGGCAAAGAATAACATGGATTTCCATTAGTGACCTTGTAAAGTGGTTTGTGAGTGCCAGTGATGTAATGTGGTCATTAATTCCTTTGCAAAATTGATGCCCAGAAAACTAGTTGGTTAGTCAAGGAATAATTTATTGATACAAGAAATGAGAACTACCAGTAGGCATAAAGTTTTCAAATTGCTCAACCCAGATATCTACTTTATTGTGGAAGTACTGAAAGTATGAAAATCATAGGCAGAAAGTACAGTGATTAACGATTTTCTTTTTGCTATTTTTTCTTCTTGATATTATTTTGGTGGAATAAATTTGCAATCCATTTTTTTTTTCCGTTTCAATTGTTTCCTTTCGACTTGCTATCGAATTTGATTTTGGGGCTGGATACTGGAGGTGGCAGCTATGCCATATGGTTGGAGATTGTGAAGGAACATGAATGGATGGGGAACAATGGCTGGTGCTGGGCTTTGGGGATGGCGATGGTGTTGCTGGGTGGGGTAGAGGCGGGAGGCAATGGTGCTAGGCAGGGGTAGGGCTTGTGATTCTGAGGTGGCTGAGGTGTTATTTTATCTTTTTGCCTTGTTTTGTTTTATTTGTTTTGGTGAGAGATAAATTTGGTTTACTGAAAATATCCCTCAAAATAAAGGTCATGAGCAAGGCCCATACTAGTATAACAGAAAAATTAATGGATTCCATCCAGTAGGGACCTATGCACTGAAACTGAAAGTTTATGGACGTATATGTCAAGAAAAATTGAATGGGGACCTTAGTGTTGTACTTTTTGAAGTTTGAACCCTGACCATGATTTGCCCCTTATTAATATCATTGGGTTGTATAATCTTAAGATCTGCTGTAAGTACTGCTATTTATGTTGGTACCTAACGCCATTCTGACATAAGTGGTAGAGAAAAAGGAATTAGGTCTTAAAATCAGCTAATTTGTGATTTTTTATTTTTTATTGTTTGTGTGCTCTACAGGCATCTGTGCAGATATAGCAGTCTCAAAGTACGAGCATTGGTCATCCTTAGCACCTCTGCCCTTCGAGGTTGTCGTATCTGCCGGACAGAAGGCCAGAGAGGAATCCTGGGATGGTGCCAACTTGTTCCTTGAAACATTTTTCCTGTTCCACAGTCTGCAACAAATATATTTACAAGGCTACTTATTTATATTGGAGTACTTAGCTAAGCAAGGCTTTTATTCTTTCTGATGCTGAGCAGGTGGAGATGATTCAGATCGTAGCAAACTTGTACATGATTTAAACAATTTAAGTGGGGAAGGAAATATCGAGAGTATGCTTTCAGTTGAAATGGGTTTGAGGGAATTAGCTTCCTTGAAGGTTCTTTTTGTTGTTCTGATTTTCGTCATATAAATATAAATTTTACCTCCGTACCATATGTTCTCTTTAAATTCTCACTTACTAATATTATTCTTAGGTTGAGGATGCTGTTGTGCTCGCATTGGCTCAAAGTAGATGTTCAACTTTGCTTCGGCAATCGTTGTCTGGTATTGTTCACCGAGTGTCTGGCTGTATATACTTCTTACATCACCCTCCCCCGCATGCTACGGTAGTTCTGAATTGATTTTCTCTCGAGGAATATGATAGTAGAAATAAATTTATTTTCTACTTTAAAACACTGTTGTTGAGTTCATTTTCTGTTTCTGGACTAGTTCTTTAGTCCTTGTGAAACAGCTAAGATCAAATCCAGCTTCTTAAGGTTTCCTTCATTTTTAATAATAGTAGAAAGAGGCCTGCATCTTTCTCCTGTACTAAAATTATCGCATCTTCTTAAGAACTCCCTTTCTACCATATATTTGTGTGTGAGTACTTTATTGGTGATAAGTTGATAACATGACATTTTGTATGATAGCCCACACCATGTTAGCCACAGTTTGCTGGTGTTGATTAGTTTAATGAATACTCAACATAGTATACTATCTGCAGTTATCTTCAGACAGTATTCATTGTGCTTCTTGCATTGCAGGTCCTAAGCCATCTGGTGATCCCAAGTTCATGGAGTTATCTGGTGAGAAACTTGCTCCATTTATTCTCCTTTCTATGAGAAAAGTTATCCTAGTTCTATTTGTTAATTTGTTGCATAGGCAGAAAAATCATCTTTAATTTGTTGTAATGTGTTCTGCTATAATTTGTATTGGTTCTTTTCTCTATTAAATTTCTTTATCGGATTTAATTTTGCTGCTGCTGCTTATTTGCACTCCAAAATTTGGCTACTCTCCATCTTTGTGCTCCATGGAAAATTCAGAAAGTAGACCCCGCTGGCAATTTACTTGATCTGTTTCACCACCGCCTCTCTCTCTCTCTCTCTCTCTCTCTCTCTCTCTCTCTGTGTGGTCAAATCCAGTTTACAAATATTCCTATAATTGCCTTAGAGCTAATTGTATCTATCCTCTTTCAAAATAAAAAGAGGAAAGGAATAGAATTACACTTAAAAAAAAATTCTGAATATGAGTTTCTGCATGATGTGCTTAGAAGACACCCAAACATTCTCGTGGGTGGTTTATGAGAGAGAGTAATACTATTTGGAAGCATGCTTACCCATGAGCAGTCTGTGGTAGTATGGTAACTGTCACATTCTGTTATAAAGTTGGGATACATTTTAATTTATTGGAAAATGTGGCAGTTCCCCACTGCCAGTCACTGCCACATGCACTGCTGATGGGTAAGCACTGCTTAGAAATAGCATTATTTGAGAAAGAAATGGGATTATGAAAACAGGGATTTGGTGTTGGTGGTAACTTGGGTTGATCAATTAATGATGGCAGTAGTGATAGATATGGAAGTTGGAATATTTATGGAGGTGGTATTTTTTGCATTGCAGGTTCCTCGTAGTTGATAGTAAAGGTAGAGGTGGTCGTTTTTATGGTAACTGGTAATCATGTGCAAGGGGTGGACGTTGATTTTTAGGAGGGTGTGGTTGGGTAGAGGTGGAAGATGGAGATAGCAGAGTGGAGATTTGAGATGCTGAGGGATCATGTAAAATCTACTGGATTCTGGAAGGTTACGATTTTGTGTGTTTGTGAGAGACAGATAAACAGGTTCCAAATTTTATGATATTAGCTTTGTCCAAATTGTGAGACCTATTCTTGACTTTCATGTATAGGGAAAGAGAATTAGAGCACTAGAAATAATTTCTGGACTGGAGTGTATTTCATCTTCCTTCTATTATTAAATAGAAATGTCATGGTCAAGTAGTTCAGCTGATGCACGATGATTCTTGTTACTTTCAATAGACAAAAAAGTTTATATGCTATCAGGCTCCTCTTAAATAGAACAGGTTCAGAATAATCATGTGTGGATATTCTTTGAATTATGGCTCTCTGTACTTGGTATCTTGTCTGTTCACACTTTCCTGAGATTTATTTTGCTTTTGTTAACACTGCACTTTATGAAACTAAGATCTTTGACGATGGAAACTTATACAAATTTCCTCATAATTTGGATGCAGAATTAAGTCAAGAGGAGTCAGAAGATGTTCTTTTCAAGGAGGTCTGCTCTCTAGTTTTATGAAGTTTTTGTTTTTCTGTATTATAATAGCTCATTAGACATGCCAACTACTTTGTCCTGTTACCAACCTTTCATAAATGCGGTTTCCCACCAATTTGACTAAAGGTTGGACTTGAAAGTAATTTTCCACTCACTGTATATCTATGTAATGTGGCCAAAGATGTATGTAAACACGCTGCAAGTGCAGGTGGATAGCATTCTTCTAGGATTAGGAATTCTGTTTTCTTCGTATAAGAGAAGAAAAGTCTAGTTAGAACCTGACCATATTGTGCAATGGGATCCAGGGATGGGGAATTCATGAAAGCTGATATGAGTATTATTTTGTTCTGTAAAGTCAATATTGCCTTGTCTGGACTGGTGGATATGTATGTATATATTATATGGTATATACACTCATAACTGATACTAGATGTAGATATTGCCTATCCTAGGCTTGACAACAATAGAATTCCGTGCAATATAATCTGGCATGACTTCTCAGTGATGCTCGCATTTTCCTTGCATAAACTGTCATTAACTTTGTTTTACCATATTCTCCACCAGGTATCATTGTTGTATAAAATACTCTCTTTTCTTTATTTCTTCTCATGTTGTAAAAATAAACACTTACAGGCAATAGCATTCTTGGAAAACGGATTTATTCTTGTCTAGCGTCCTTAGAATCATGATGTCAGTTACCAAGCATAATAAAGTTATATGTAAGCATCGTCTTTCCATTATATAAAATTTATCTATACAGATTTTTAGAATTTTTCTTTTTCAACTGTTTTTTTTTTTTTTTTTTTTTNTTTTTTTTTTTTTTTTTTTTGTTTGACGGTCTCATTCTAGTAGGATTGGCTATTCATAACATAAAATGGCCAATCAGCTTTTATAGTTTCTGGAGATATTGAAATCTTTTGTTTCACATTTTTACTCATGTTTGCAGGCTTGGCTTACATATTTCTGGAGAAGAGCCAAGGTTCATGGTGTTGAGGAGGACATTGCTGATGAGAGACTTCAATTATGGATAAGTCGCAGTGGACAATCACCGACTTCGCCTGATGCTGTTGACGGTAACTTTATTTTTCTGACATTTGTATTTTTTGCTGATGTGAAGCCATTCAAGCTTATAATCACTGATTTAGGGAACAATTGTTCAATATCTGTGGTGTCTGTCTAGTTATCCTGAAAGTAACCATTCGTCCCCTGGATGTAACTAGCTATACATATACTTACACACCGGCTACTTGACTAGATTAGTGTGATAGAATCTTCTGAAAATATCACTTGCTTATTATTTTTCTCTCATCTTTTTCTGGTGCAAAAGGTCATATCAGGTTTGAATCACAAGCTTGTCACGAAACAACAGATGGTAGGAATTCGCGTTCTAGTTTTAGGCAATGGTCTGGGTAGTGGTGGTTGTTTAGTTCTAGCATTAGAAAGCTCAGTTCTTTTATGTGTCCATGGGCTAGGGTGTTTTGAAGAATGGAAATAATCCCAAGTGATAACCAAGTAGAAGGAAGGAAGGAAAGACTAGTTGTGACCTTTAGCAATCCTTTTTGGGTTAATTGCAATTAAACCCCTTATTTTACCTTTAGTACTAACACTTTATTGCTTAGAAAGCTGCATTGTAAAATTATGACTCATAAGTTCAGTTTCACTGGTAATTTTTTTTCCCCCCCAGTATTATGGCTCATAACTCACGAGTCCAATTTGACTTCTTTTCTAATTGTAAAACTGTGTATCAAATTTGCCGAGGTAGTGTAAAATTGGGTTGATTTTTGTCACTATTTTTCAATCTTGGTATAGTTGTGATTAGAATGCAGTTATAAACTATGGAATGATTTCACATTATCGATTTGGAGAAATAAAGGAAAACTCAGACAAACCATCAAATCCTCATTTTGATACCCCTTGTAGAGCACGCATGTGATAGCCATTCGTGTCATTTCCAAAATATGAGGTCAAAAGTGAAAATATGTTTAGTCAGCCAACATTTGTATCCCGGAATAAATTATAGCACAGCTTATGGTTGCAATATTGGATATGTTACAGTTGAAAGAGGTTTAACGGAGCTGAGGAAATTGGGAATAGAACAGCAGCTGTGGGAGGCATCCCGAAAGGAGATTGGCTTACCGTCTATTGCCAATGGCAAACCAGCTCCTGAATCAGAAAGCTCGCCTTAGTCGGTTTGTTTCTTTCTTCCTTTTTATTGATCCCACATGATTATTTCGTTACCCGGAACAAGTTTTAAGTATGTAATTAAAGCCTTTTTGTATAATAATAATAGATCAACTGGTAGAAAATTTGATTGATTGCCATGCATTTGGGATTTTGAAAACGCATATATTATTCATTTGAGTGCTCTACAGTTATATGAGCTTTTGTGAACAAAGAAAATTCCATTTGCACATTCTTTTTGTTATACTAGTTTTCTGCCCGTGCAATACACGGGCGGAGTTATTTTTAAGGTAATGTTAGCGTATTGAGATATTGCATCATGAATGTCGAAATATTGCATTGAAAATGAAGAAATTGATATCATGACCATGAAAGAATTCTCAATTCTGTATGAAAGAAACTATAAATTGATAATGAAATTTAAAAAAATCTGCATGATGCAAAGAGTCACAAGGCGACGAATGTTAAACCCCTCACATTTAAAACCCATTACTATTTGCTTCTCAGGATAAGGCTCCAGAAATTCGGCAGCCAGTTGACATTAACTGGCAATAGGGATTGGAACTGGAGACAATTGTTCTACATTGTTGCGAGGTTTGTCAGCTACAAAATCCAGTGAAGTAACCTTTCAAAACTAAATGGTGCTACAAAAAGTGATACTCTCAATCAACCCTTAATTTTTTAGGAAGCTCTTGTTAATAAAGACAAACCTAACAATACTAAAAGAGCAAAAGCGTTTGTTTTTTAATCTTTCATCCACAAGAGAATGAACCAGTTGTTTACCGATTCAGAAAAACTACAAATGAATACAAAAATAGAGGACTCTTCCAAAGAATACAGAAATTAAGAAAGAAACTTGTGAAAATCAAATGAATTATACCTTTGATCTTCGCAAAGAGAAAGAAATAAGCTACACGAACAAGGAAAATAGAAAATCAATCAAAAAAAGACGGAAAGAAAGAAAGAAACATTGAACGAATAAATATACAAATACACAAAGAAGTTAAGAAAAAAGGGACCTCGACTTCGAGTTCAGCAATATAGACGACAAGAGCATCCTTGTCTCTACGTTTGATGGACTCTTCATCGAAGCCCGCTTCTTTGAGTTTTTTTCCATATGCCACATATGAAGCCCCATAAGGTGGCATAATATACTGTAACATAAAGGAGTGAGTGTTAATATTATTTCAAATAAACAATTCTTGCAAACGACTTCAAATAATAGAATCAAGAGAAAACTGCATCCCACCCTCCACTACTAAATAAAATATAATTATACAAATGTGTGCTCGTGCTCGCGTGTATATATGCAAAAATTGTGCCCTCGTGGTCAATACCGTTATAGCTAACATTTTAATAAATTCAACTACCATTAAACCACATCAGATAAATCACAGAAAAAAAAAGACGACAGTAGAAATGAAAAAAATAAACCATAAACTCGATATTTATTATGTTCTTCAATAATAATAATAATAATAATAAGACCATCAAAAAACATGTTACAACAATTGATTAATTTCCATGACAGTAGGAGATGCAACCTTCAATTTTATGATAGAACATCCATGGAGTATAAACCATCCACAGGTATTTAAATGGCAAGACAGAAAACACAAGGAATAAGGGAAATAAATTTAAAGTTAATTGAAATCCAAAGGTATTAAACAGAACATCTTGTTGAGGAAGTTTTTTTAATTGTTCCCTGAATCATCTTACGCTCAAAGGTATTAAATAAACATCTTGTTGAAGAATATATTCATTTCTCATTGTGTTCGCAAAGAAGAATGAATTAAACAAATCAATATTGAGTTGTAATTTTTCGAAGAAAAATAATTTATTGTTTTATTAATGGTGAAGAAGAATATTAATTATCGCTCATGAGGAGCATAACATTCGCTTGTTTCAATATTTTTGAAAAATATTATATTATTATTTTTAAAGAAGCATAAACTTTTATATATAAAAAAAAATGAGATTTAAGATGGATAATTAGGATAATGCTGAAACCTGGATGTATACTTTGACAGCCCCTCACATTGGGGTGCACACACATGTGCCATGTGAGGAGGCTGTCATCCATGAAGTACATCAAAGTGTACATCAATCATGGTTGTTCGGATAATTAAGATATCTATTTAGCAGATGCTACAATTGTGGAAAGTGTTTGGTGATAGTTGTCCTCGCTGATTGGCTCCTCTGTCAGGAGGAGTGATTGATAGGTTGCAGTGTGTTAAGTTCATCCCTCAAGATATCAAAATAATCTTTAAATTGCAGCTGTGTAAGCTTTTATTAGTTTTTTTATACCTATTTTTGCTTTAGAAGAAAATGGAAATATTTGTAGTTAATTTCATGAAAATTATTAATGTGACTTACAATTAATTAAGTCGTCTCCCTTTATAATAAAACTCTTTAATTCTCATATTAATTTTCAATTACATTTATACAATAAAATATTGGACAACTTACAAAAATACTCCTAAAATTGGGGGCCTTTTGAAAGTAAAAAATACTGTATAAAATTAAGTATCACATTTTTATAATAAAACAAGTGATACAGTGTCACTTTTATTAAAAAGTGATGTTTTCCACTCAAAAAGTGACAATAAAACAAAAAAAAAAGTTATAGAAAAAAGTGGCAAACATTCAAAAAAAAATGACAAAAATTTATGCAAGTGACAAACATTCAAAAAGGTGACAAAACATTTATCAAAACCTTGGAATCAGCTCAATAAAGTGACGGAAATTAAAAATTGACAAAAACTAAAAAAAGTAACAACACAAAAAAAGTGACAAAACACCAATCGATACCTTGGAATCAATTAAATAAAGTGGCAGAAATTAAAAAAATGATAACAATACAAAAAAAAAGATACAAAACACCAATCAAACTTTGGAATCAATTCAATAAAGTGATAGAAACTAAAAAAGTGACAAAAACTTAACAAAGTGAAAACACTAAAAAAGTCACAAAAATCCATATAAAGTGACACACACTCAAAAAAGTGACAAAACATCAATCAAAATCTTGGAATCAGTTCAACAAAGTGACGAAAATAAAAATTGACAAAAACTAAAAAAAGTGACACACTACGTAAAGTGACAATTTCCCCAAAAAGTGAAATAATATTTAATATCGATCAAAACCTTAAAAGAAATCCAAAGAACGATTGATTTTCTTTTGCATGTTGTCTATTCTATTAATTAAAAATAGAACAAAACTTCATTTTTAAGAACATTACTACCAATAAGTTGGTAGTGATAAAAAATTCAGAAAATTGACAAATTTCTTTGTAGGATCAAACTTCTTGATTCTCCTATGTCAATGAACCATTAAGATACGTCAATATCAAACTGTAGATCTACATCCCCAATGAAAAAGATTTCTTATTTGACTTGTTACGCTCCAAAAGCAATAAAATCTCAAAAAAGTGACAAACAATAAAAAAGTCAAATACTTAAAAAAGTGATGAACACTCTAAAAAATGACAAAATTAATTTGAGCATTCAAACTAATGATGGCCTCTTATCTATCCATATAAAAAAGCAAACTCAACCATCCAAACAAAATTAATATCAATCAAGAATTCGAAAGGCACATGAGCTTTACATGTTGTTCTATGAAATTTAATTGTTCTCTTAATGCTTAAAAATAGCACTAAAAAGTTCTATTAAACAGTACCCTCCAACAGTGAAACCGGACAGAATCTCAAGTAGAAGCTGCTGCTCCCTTCTTCCTGGGTGCAGCATGAGAGCCTAAACCAACCATCAAGTGGCTCTTCCACGTGGTGGGTGAGGTTTTCTCCCTGTAAAAATTCTGGAGTCGAATTCGAAATCGGGAACAAATGTTTCTCGGAATTTTGGTTTTTCTGTATTTTGAGGTTTGGCACGTAATTAATACGATAATTATAATTTTATTTAGTTTGAAGGGTATTTAGCAAAGATGTAAATTTTTTAGGGCAGTGGGCCTAATTTCTCCTAAAATATTTTAAATGTAAATTTAAAATTTTTTCCTACTTTTTAACCACATATTCTTTAAAAAATCACTATTCAAAACATTTTTTTTTTCTCAATAATGACTATCGAACGGGGGATAAGTGATTAACAGTAAAAAAAAAAAATGAGTTGAGACTAAGGAATAATTTTTTCTGCACTGTAACATAGAACGAAGACAACAATTTCTTCATTCAAACTTTCATGCTTCCCACACCAACACTAATATGGGATCCAATGTATCCTGAAAACTCCTCATCGATGGTGGAAAAAGTCTTTTTAGGTATTGAATTAATAGTACAGTATCCTAGCTGTTTAAGAGGCCAAACTGTTTAAATAGTGCATTTGATCATGACACTGTTTCAAATAGCAATCTGTCGGTTGTTTTAATGAAATTAATTAACAAGAATAGATTAGACGATCGTTTATATAATTATTCATTAGATTTTAATTATTTTAAACACCAAGGGTGCCCTTTTTACCAATTTCACATTCGTTTTTCTTTATGTCATCTTGTACGAGCCTAGAATTTATAAAAATACATTTATGCTATATTTAAAAATCATGCTCGATCCGAAGTTGTTACTTTAAAGTCCATACAGTGACATGCGATTTAGTATTCATATATTAACAACAAAGTCGACTTAAATTCAATAAAATTCGTCAACTTGTTGCCTCAAATTCTTTTAATTTTGTCAATACAAGATAGTGAAAAACAATATCTTAACTTATTTAATTGTCAAAGATATTTGGAGTTAAATCAAGACCCTGTGCATTAAAACTGACACTTACCCATTTTAAACGACATGATATTGTTTTCATCAATTTCACATCTGTTTTTCTTTATGCACTCTCGTATGATCCTAAAATTTATGAAATAACATTTCGGTTACATTTAAAAATCGTGCTCGACATAAAATTATTACTTTGAAGCCAATATAATTACACACGATTTTTTTTTTATTATTATTATTATTATTATTATTATTATTATTATTTTTGACAAAACACC